GCTACCAGTTCTGCTTCTGTAATACCTCAGTGTTTTTGTTCAAGTAATTCTTACTTTACATAATAATGACCCGAAAGTGCAAGAAAAGTGAAGTTAGCTTTCAGGTATGCCAAAGAAAAGTAATACAGGGCTTCCTTTAAGTAAGTACTTGATTAACAAGAAAAAACACGCTGAAAATCACGCTGTTAAGATTTAGATAAGAACGAATCTTCCGTCTGTGAAAATTGAACAGAAATAAAGCAAAACCTTCACCTCCACTGAGGATGTAACAGAGTGTGGCCCAGCACGATAGCGCAGTGATTAAAGTCCTCACCTAGCACACACTGGGATCCTGTATGGGTGCTGGTTCTAATACTGGTGGCCCCACTTCCCATCCAGCTCCCTACCTGTGACTTGGGAAAGCAGCTGAGGACAGCCCAAAGCCTTGGGACCCTGCACCCATGTAGGAGACCTGGAGGAGGTTCCTAGCTCCTGGCTTCGGATCGGCACAGCACCAGCCGTTGCAGTCACTTGGGGAGTGAATCATTACACAAAGATCTTCCTCTCTCTCCTCCTCTCTGTATATCTGACTTTGTAATAAAAATGAATAAATCTTTAAAAAATAAATAAATAGGGCCCAACGCGATGGCGCAGTGGTTAAGTCCTCGCCTTGCACACCCGGGATCCCATATGGGCGCCGGTTCTAATCTCAGCAGCCCCGCTTCCCATCCAACTCCCTGCTTGTAGCCTGGGAAAGCAGTCAAGGACGGCCCAAAGCTTTGGGACCCTGCACCCACGTGGGAGACCCAGAAGAGGCTCCTGGCTTCAGATCGGCATAGCATCAGCCGTTGCGCTCACTTGGGGAGTGAATCATCGGACGGAAGATCTTCCTTTCTGTTTCTCCTCTCTGTATATCCGCCTTTCCAATGAAAAAATTAATTTAAAAAAATACCTTCCAGTATTATTAAGTGATTAACATTTAAATCAGATAATAATAAAAAGTTGTTGCAAAGATGGAAACTCTTTTTAAAAAACAAATAAATAAATCTTTAAAAAAAAGAGCTACAAAGTGAATCAGAAACCAGAAACTCCAAGTGGTTGGTGGAACACCATGTGAAACTGCTAATGATTCTAAGAATTCTCCAAGGGCAGTGGAGAAGGCAGAAAAGTCATTCAGGCAGCAAGCCAAGTTGGTGAAGGATCTGTTGACCTGCTTGGCGAAGCAGAACACATCAAGCTTCATCGAGTCGTGTTGACAAATGATGACCTCCTAGAACTTTTTGGGACAGCTACAGAAAATGATGAAGTGGGCAGAACCAGCAATGTCACATCCAGTGAAGCATTTCAACTTACACAATATGATCCTCAGATGAAATGCAGCATTAAACATCACCAAGGGTTGTAACTTTCCTGGCCAGAAAACCATCAATGAGTTCAAAGGCACAGCAACTTCTGACTGCAATGTTCTTGCAAATTTTGGCAAAAATAAAAAACAAAAACATCTTCAACTACTAGGGATCCTCAACCATCAACATTGGGAGGGTTCTATAATCCAAACAAGCAAAGTGGATGTGTCATCTCAACAATGGTTTAATAATACATCACAGCACACTCATCTCACATGTAAGTACCGCCATCTACTTCACGAGAAGAATGACGATGGTCCAAAAACACAACCTGAAAACCCACATTTAAAACATTTTTATTAGATTACTGTATTCTACCTTAACATTATCAGTTACTGTTAACCTCTTATTGTGCCTAATTTACAAGTTAATCCTTGTCAGATGTATGTATTCATGGCAAAATATATATATATATATATATATATATATATATATATATAAAAACCAGAGTACTTCAAAATGTACCTGGAAGGGCCAGAACTGGGTCACACTGGGTAAAGCCCACTGCCTGTGAAGCCAACATCCAATATGGGTTCCTGTTCATGTTCAAGATGCTCCATTTCCAATTTAACTCCCTATTAATTGATTAGGAAAACCTGGGGAAGACAGTCCAAGTATTTGGAACTCTACCACCAACATGGGAGACCAAGATAAAGCTCCTGGCTTCCCGGCATCAACCTATACCAGCAATGGCTGTTGCAACCATCTAAGGAGTGAATCAGCAGATGCAAAATCTATACTTGACATCAAATTTCTTAATAATAAAAAAAAGTATTTTTATTTAAAAAGCAGCAAGATTTAAGGAGAGGAGACAGAGAGAAGGATCCCTAATCATTGGTTTATTCCCCAAATGTCTACAACAGCCAGAGCTGAACTTTTCTGAACGCAGAAGCTTTAAGCATCCTTCAGGTCTCCCACAAGGGTATGCGACCCCAAGGCTTTGGCCATTGATTACTGCTTTTCCAGGCCACAAACAAGAAGTGAGCAGCCAGGAGAGGAAACACCCACCATATGGGATACCAACACACGCAAAGACAGGATTTAGCCATTGAGCCATTACGTTGGGTCCCACATTGAGTTTCAAAATTGCACTTGGGCTTGGTGCAATACCCTAGTGGGAGAGAAGGAGACAGAAGAGATCGTGATGCATGCACCAGGATCCCATACAAGCGCCGGTTCATGTCTTGGCTGCCCAACTTCCCATCCAGCTTTCTGCTGGTAGTTTGGGAAAGCAGTCGAGGACGGCCCAAAGCCTTGGGACCCTGCACCCACGTGGGAGACTCGGAAGAGGTTCCTGGTTCCCGGCTTTGGATCAGCACAGCGCCAGCCGTTGTGGTCACTTGGGGAGTGAATCATCGGATAGAAGATCTTCCTCTCTGTCTCTCCTCCTCTTTGTGTTTCTGACTTTGTAATAAAAATAAATAGATCTTATAAAAAAAGAAAAAAAGAGAGCGCGAGAACCTATCTTCATGACTAGACTAATTCTACCCTCCATACTTGTCAATCATGTTTCCAGCTGATTCTGTTGAAACCTAACCAAGGATACAAAATCACAAAAAGCTAACAAAAATTTCATGAGCAAAACAAGGAACATGGGTAAGTGACTGCCCATGTCACAACTAAAGAAAATGGAAACAAAGTTTAAAGATCTATTTTTAGGAGGCAGGTATTGTGTTGTACAAGTAAATCCTGCTTAAGATGCCCATAGCACATATCAGAGTACTGATATGAGACATGGCAAGTAAACTTCTAATCCAGCTTCCTGCCAATGTGCTTAGGAAGACAACAGATCGGCCCAAGAATGAGTCCCTCCCACCCAAATGGGAAACCCAGATGGAGTTCCTGGCTTTGGCCGTTCCCAGATGCAACATCTCCAGAGTTAACCAGCAGACACAGAATTGATCTTTCTTTTACTGCCTCTGTTTTTGTCTGCCTTTCTAGGAAGGAATAAATAAAGATCCATTTGTTTTCCACTGTGGTAGAAGTAAACACAAGGGCTCTTAAATTTAACAAGACTAAAGAAGAGGCACAGAAGTGGTCCAGCGGCGTGGCCTAGCAGCTAAAGTTCTCACCCTGAACTCGCCAGGATCCCATATGGGTGCCAGTTCTAATCCTGGCAGCCCCACTTCCCATCCAGCTCCCTGCCTGTGGCATGGGAAAGCAGTCGAGGACGGCACAAAGCCTTGGGACCCTGCACCTGTGTGGGAGACCTGAAGGAGGTTCCTAGCTCCTGGATTCGGATTGGCTCAGCATCGGTTGTTGCGGTCACTTGGGGAATGAACCATCAGACGGAAGATCTTCCTCCCTGTCTCTCCTCTTCTCTTGATACCTCACGTTCCAATAAAAATAAATAAATCTTAAAAAAAAAAGAGAGAGACACAAAAAAGTTTAAAAAAAAAAAAAACTATTTAACTTGAATTTCAGAGTTACACAGAGATAGATGAAGAGATCTTCCATTCACTGGTTCACTCCCCAAACAGCTGCCAACAGCCAGAACTGAGCTGTTCTGAAGCCAAGAGCCAGGAGCTTCTTCCGGATCTCCCATGTGCGTGTAGGGTCCCAAGACTTTGGGCCATCCTCCACTGCTTTTCCATGCCATATGCAGGAAGCTGGATTAAAAGTGGAGTGACCAAGGACCTGAACCAGTGTGCATTTAGCTGGTAGCACTTGACGTGGAGAATTAGCCTGCACAAGTCCCTGAAAAAAACTTTTTGTAACACAAGCTACCTTTTATAGGTGACATGTAACGAAAAAGTTATCATACAATTCAAGTTGAATTCATATTTATTTTATATCCTGTCATCATATACTGAAGTTTTTTAAGTCTACCTCTGAAAATAGAGAGCTTTCTTATACAGAATTTTTAAGTATTTTCCAATGTTACTGCTTAACTGAAAATTAAAATGTTTTATATGTTAGCTACAGTTACTAATATTGTTACAGAAACATTTAAAATTTAAAACTAAGTTTGTCCAGGGCAAATGCCATGCATAATAAGTTAAACCAGTTCCATGGCCTAGGGGCTAAAGTCCTATGTGACTTCTCATTTTATTCTAGTAACTTAAGTAACAGCACGCTCCTCGCACCAGCATAACCAAGTCTCCATTTGGTGCTCCCTGCTGCCAAGGTATTCCATACGCCCATACTGATCTGACACAGAACACGTACCTCCCTCCTAACCCCGCCCTGTTTCACAAAAGGAAGGATGACTGAATTTGCACCTGAAATCCTTGGAAACTGGCTAAGACGGTCATTGGCTGTGATGACAGCCTTTCCTAATGTTTCTGCTATATTACCCACCCTTCTGTAACACAGGCATTGTACGTGCTGTTCTAGGTGTTTAGCAAGTTAACCCTATTTAACTAGCACTGTTGATATGATCTGCCAAGTTATTACAACTCATTTCTAAAAACATTCATTTCAATTCATTAAAATTCATTTCTAAAAATCAAAATTCTAATTTGCCTCATGGTTCCTAGGTTTTGCAATAAACCCTACCATAGTAAGCAAACTACTAGAAAACAAGTAGTTTCCAAGTGGGAGTCAGCAGCACTAAGATATTTTCCAAGTATACTGTATGAATCAACAGAGAAGAAAATCAAAATCACATTTTACCTTCGTACTTTTCCAGAGCCTGTATAACATTAGGGAGCTGATTGATACCCTGATAAAGCCGATAACAATCTTGCAAATTTGCAGCTTGTCTTTGGAATTTCTTGGCAAGTCGGTTAAGATCTGGGAGCCGACGAAGTAAGTCTTCTTGTAAACTCTGCCTCAATTCTGCATCCTCTACAAAAGCTTCCACTAAATTTAGTCTAAAAGCAATCACATTAGGATTAATTTCAAGTATTTTAGGACAAAGTTAAAACCTGCCAAACAAGCACATGATGGGACTTCAAAAGTTCAAGGAAAAAAATGGAATTAAAAGGTAAGTTTATGTTGCTGCAATAACTTTTGGAATACATGCACAATTTTTCCATAATATGCATTTTTCACACAATTCTTAAAGTACCTCTAAGGGTACGGTAGATACTTCTGTCAATCTGTATTGATAAGCTCTAATATTCTGCACAAGAAGTCTGAATCTACTCTAGGATGTTAACTTTTTCTTGGAGTATGCAGCCCATAGTCTTATAAGGTCCACAAAACTACTGAATCTGGTCCAACCAAGGCAACCACTGGTGGGACTCGAAATCCAATAAATGCCAAGCAGGTTAATCATTCAAAAATTTCTTCATTCTGGGCCTGGTGGTGTGGCCTAGTAGCTGAAGTCCTCACCTTGAACATGCTGGAATCCCATAGGAGCATTGGTTCTAATCCAGGCAGCTCCATTTCCCATCAGATGGAAGATCTTCCTCTCTGTCTCCTACTCCTCTCTGTATATCTGACTTCGTAATAAAAAATAAATAAATCTTAAAAAAAATTTTCTTTAGGGCCCGGCACGGTGGCGCAGTGGTTAAGGTCCTCCCCTTACACACCCGGGATCCCATATGGGCGCCAGTTCTAATCCCAGCAGCCACACTTCCCATCCAGCTCCCTGCCTGTGGCCTGGGAAAGCAGTCAAGGATGGCCCAAAGCTTTGGGACCCTGTACCCGTGTGGGAGACCTGGAAGAGGCTCCTGGCTTCGGATTGGCATAGCATCAGCTGTTGCACTCACTTGGGGAGTGAATCAGATGGAAGATCTTCCTCTCTGTCTCTCCTCCTCTCTGTATATCTGACTTTCCAATAAATAAATAAATCTTTTAAAAAAAAAATTTTCTTTATTCTTATTTGAAAAGCAGGGATTTACAGAGGATAGAGATCTGGTACTGGCTGCTTGAAACCCAAACGGTCAAGACACCCAAAGCTGGGTGGGTCTAAAGCTGGGAGCTCATTCCAGCCCTCCCACAGGGACCACCCTTGGTTGCTTTCCCAGGCCACAGAGAGGGAACTGAATAGAACCCATGTCCACATGGGATGCCATGGTGCTGGCCCCACAGATTGTTAACCTGATTGTTCTGTGAGCCACAGTGTAAATAGGCATCTGGCCCTTAGCAGAAAAAAGGTTCTCCACTCCTGCTTCATTCTGTGAGACTCTGAGGCAAGCATTTCTGGACTAACATTCAAATCAACATGCAGTTAGGCAGTGGTAAACAACACTAAACAACACTAAAATACACACAATTCAGGTTGACAATTCAGAAGAAAAAAAATTCACTGCTGGGATATTTATGTTTCTGATATAATATTAAATAAGTAAACAATAATGCTTACAAAAACAGAAGGGTAATTAAAGAATGATGCCAGATTCAACTGTTCATTGTATCAGAGGATGTTCTACATGTTCAGAATTCTTTCTAAAATCACTTTTTGACAATACAAATTCCGAAATTTTTAATTAAACCATTGAAATATTTTTACTGCTTCCCAAAGTCAGCAAATCAATTTCAGCTTATTTCAACAACTATCAAACTTCCAGCCCATACCTCTAGTATAATTTATCAGAACCCCATGCCCTTCCATTATTTTCACTGTAATCCACAGAAAAGACCCAGCACATGTGTGGAAATTTAAATGGATTTCAGAAAACAATGCCTATTTTTTTACATTATACATTACAGTTTTCTGTGTCAAGAAAAATATTACTTATTATTCACAATACTAATTTCATAATCCATCACTGCCTCAGAACTTGCAGCTTGGATGGTATTGTGACGCAGCAAGTGAAACTGCTATCTACTGTGCCAAGATTCCACAAGAGCGCCAGTTGGACTCCTGGTTGCCCCATGTCAGATCAAGGTCCCTGTTTAATGGCCTGTGAAAGCAGCCAAGAATGGTCCACACAGTTGGGACTCTGCACCTCTGTATGTGTGCCTGAGTTCAAGTCCAGCTGCACTCTGCATCATTCTAGCTTGTTGGAAATGTGCATTCTTGGTGCAAGCAAGTAATGATTTAAGTAGCTGGGTTCTTGCCACCCACATAGGTAACAGCCAGAGTTCCCAGCTGCTTGGCTTTGACCCGACCCAGCCTAACTGCGATGGTTGATTAAGGAATGAAACCAGAGGATGGCAGATGTCTCCATCTCTGTAACTTTCAAATAAACAAAATAAGTAAGAATTAAAGAAAAAATAAAAGCTTCTAAAAAAACACAGGTCAGCCTCCTTCCTTAGACTTTGGTCCAGACATTGTTTTATTTTCTTAAAGATTTATTTATTTATTTACTTTTAAAGATTTTTAAAGTCAAATACACAGAGAGGAGGAGAGGAGATACAGAAGGAAAATCCTCCGTTCCTTGATTCATGCCCCAAGTGACCACAATGGCTGGCACTGAGACGATCCAAAGCCAGTTCTCCCCCTTTGTGCAGGGTCCCAAGGCCTTGGGCCATCCTCAACTGCTTTCCCAGGCCACATAGTAAGCTGAATGGGAAGCGGGGCCACCAGGATTAGAACTGGCATCCATATGCAATCCCAACGTATGCAAGGTGAGGACTTTAGTCAGCAGGCTACCATGATGAGCTCAGAATTGTTTTTATTGCAATGTCAGATATACAAAGAGGAGAAAAGACCGAAAGATCTTTCATCTGCCAATCCACTCCCTGAGTGACCACAACGGCCTGAGCTAAGCCGGTCCAAAGACAGGAACTAGGAACTTCTCCTGGGTCTCCCATGCGTGTGCAGGGTCCCAAGGCTTTGGGCCATCCTTGACTGCTTTCCCAGGCCACAAGCAGGGAGGTCGGTGGGAAGTGGGTCTGCCGGGATTAGAACTAGCACACATATGGGATCCCGCGGTGTGTTCAAGGAAAGGACTTTAGCCACTAAGCTATCGAGCCGGGTCCCAGACATTGCTTTAAAGGCTAATAAATCATAAATCGATAGTTTCAAGTATATTCAGTATATCATTTCAGTAATAATTACAGTATCAGTTTGTTTTAAAAAGATCCTTTTGCTGTTTCCTTGACAATTTCCCATTTAAATCACAATTTCAGAACTATCCGTATTACTGTTGCTGTAACACAGTAGAGCTGCCAATCCTGCTCAACATAATTACTCAGTCATGCACTGCTTCACGCAGTATTAATTTGCAAATTGACTAGACTTCAAAGTAAATTTTTAGGGTCAATTAATTTAAAAAATTTAACAGTTACAACATTTTTAGTTATTTTTAAATCACAACTGTCCTTTCTCTGACTAGCATGTCTGGTAACTGAAAAAAAAAATAGACTAGAGTTCCCTGACAAACCATACACAAGACTGGGGAGAAGGCATGCAACCTAAAGAAATGAATATTGTACCTCTTCCTCACTAGGGTTAACACAGCGGAATCAATCATTTGATACGTTAAGTAGCCGATACATTATACTTAGCATGAGGAAGACTAAAAAACCAAGCGGGCCCAGCGAGATGGCGCAGTGGTTAAGGTCCTCGCCTTGCATACCCAGGATCCCACATGGGCACCGGTTCTGATCCCAGCAGCCCCACTTCCCATCCAGCTCCCTGCTTGTGACCCGGGAAGGCATAGCATCGGCCGTTGCGCTCACTTGCGGAGTGAATCATTGGACAGAAGATCTTCCTCTCTGTCTCTCCTCCTGTCTGTATATCCGCCTTTCCAATAAAAAAAATAATAATAAAAATAAATCTTTAAAAAAAAATAAACCAAGCAAGCAAGATGATGGGATGATATGAAACAGGAAGACTCTTTCAAATAATCCAGTAGAATAAAGGAACTCATTTGCATCGCCATCAGTGCTGAGAATCAACTGACATACGCAACAGAATAAAATATTACTTGGATAACAAGCGAGGAAAATTTCAACTTGACATACTTAACTGCCTATACTCTAAATAGCTGGGATTTAGAGAAACAGGATTTGTGTGGGGGAGGGCGGCATTGTGGCAGGGCGAGTTAAGCTACTGCCTGCAACACCAACATACTATGGGCGCCACTTCAAGTCCTAGCTTCTCTGCTTCTGATTCAGCTCCCCTGCTAGTGAACTTGGAAAAGCAGTGAAGATGACCTAAGTGCTTAGAACTCTGCTCCCATGAGGGAGACATCAAAGTTCCAGAATCTTGGTACAGTCCCGGTCTTACAGCCAACTGGGGAGTGAACCACCAGGAAAAAGATCTGTCGCATGTGCTACCACTTCTAAACTTACAGCAGCCATGTTCATGTGCACAAACATTTTGTTTCTAGACTTATTTTAACTGGAAAGTCAGATATACAAAGAGGAGATATAGAGAAAGAAGATCGTCCATTCACTCACTCGTTCATTCCCCGAGTGGCAGGAATTGGCCAGAGCTAAGCCAATCCAAAGCCAGGAGTTTCTTTCAGGTCTCCCACAAAGGTACAGGGTCGCAAGGCTTTGGGGCATCTTCTATTGCTTTTTCACAGGCCACAAGCAAGAAGCTGGATGCGAAATGGGGCCACCAGGACATGAACCAGCGCCCATATGCAATCCCAGCATGTGCAAGGCAAGGACTTTGGCCACTAGACTACCACTCAGGGCCGTAAATAAATGTTTTTCTTTTTTTTTTTTTAAGATTTATTTATTTATTTATTTATTTATTGGAAAGTCAGATATACAGAGAGGAAGAGACAGAGAGGAAGATCTTCCATCTGATGATTCACTCCCCAAGTGAGCACAAAGGCCAATGCTGTGCCGATCGGAAGCCAGGATCCAGGAACTTCTTCCGGGTCTCCCACACAGGTGTAGGGTCCCAAGGCTTTGGGCTGTCCTCGACTGCTTTCCCAGGCCACAAGCAGGGAGCTGGATGGGAAATGCAGCTGCTGGGATTAGAACCGGCGCCCATATGGGATCCCAGCGCATTCAAGGCAAGGACTTAGGTGCTAGGCCACGCCCACGGGCCCCATAAACAAATCTTTAAAAAAAGAAATAGCAGCTGGGATGTGAATCAGTACCCATGAGAGGCTGGTGTTGCAGGCAGAAGCTTAACCCACTATACAACACTGGCACAATAATGTGTTCATTTTTTAATCTGAGTTCGCCTAACTTCTATTTGCAAGCCCAATGTATGATGAGGATTCTGGAGAATCTATCTTACTGGGATACCAGATCCAGAACTCCAAACTAAAATAAAACTTTTTTTCCTAAGAGGATCTTCATGGAGCCACCACTGTAGTAAAGTGCACTAAGCCCCTATTTGGGATAACTGAATGTGATATTTCAGCCTGGCTCCTCTGCTTCAAGTGGATGAAGGCGCTGGTACTTAGGTCCTTGTCACCCATGTGGGAGACAGTGATGGAATCCTTGGCCTTGCATGCGCCAGGAGCCTATATGGTCACCGGTTCTAATCCCGGTGGTCCCACTTCCCATCCAGCTCCCTGATTGAGACCTGGGAATGCAGCTGAGGACAACCCAAGGCCTTGAGACTCTGCACCCTCGTTTGAGACCCAGAAGAGCTCCTGGCTTTGGATTGGCTCAGCTCCAGCCATTGCAGTCACACAGGGAGTGAACCATCGGATGGAAGATCTTCCTCTCGGTCTCTTCTCCTCTGTATATCTGCCTTTCCAATAAAAATAAATAAATCTTAAAAAAAAAAAAATGAAGACATTATGACACTGCATCTGTGTAACTTGCCCCCAACACAACACAAAAGTCTGAAGTAAGGCATATGGGCTCTCAAGCTCATGGTGCTTTGTAATTACTTAATAAAATTTTACTGTTCTACAGGAAAAAAATGTAAATACTTAAAAAGTAGTATCTTGCATGCACTGGCATCCCGTATGGACTACAGTTCAAGTCCTGGTTGCTCCCCTTCCCATCCAGCTCCCTGCTTATGGCCTGGAAAGCAGCAGAGGATGGCTTAAGCTCTTGGGACCCCACACCCACATGGACAACCTGGAAGATGCTCCTGGCTTTGGATTGGCTCACCACCAGGCATTGCAGCCACTTGGGAAGCGATTCAGCAAATGGAAGATTTTTTTCTGAGTCTCCTTCTCTTTGCAACTCTGCCTTTCCAGTAAAAACAAAAACAAATTAAGCAGAAATCAATCTGCATAGTAAAATGCTAAACATAGGTGAAAATGACTCATGAGAATACACTGTATAATCAAGGAATAACTGCAAAGGGTTTAAAGTTGAAAAAATATCCGTTAGTATACCTCTCTTCTATTCTGTTCTTATCCATCAGAGGCTGCTTAATCCACTGGTTGACCAGTCGCTGTCCTTGAGGGGTTTTGCACTTGTTCAGCAATGCAGCCAGGGACTGGGAGCCACTGGTATCTTCAACAGAGCCCTGAGAAGTGAACAATAACAGCAGTGGCACACTCACTGGAGAAACATTTTCACAGCATACAAAGGATTCAGTCATTGTGCAAACAGTATCACATTATATTCTTCCAATATTGAGTGGAAATTTTCCACAGCAGTTTCTCTTGCTAACATCAATTTTCAACCAATCTCTATTTTTAACTGTGCATCACTGCTGAAGCAAAATCAATTCAAATGCACTGCTTAGTCATATACTATCTCCAAATATTCATCTTTTAAACTTGGTTTGGCAAAATTTGAGACAGAGAGAAAGAGTGTGACAGAGGCAAGAACAGCAATCTCCCATCTCCTGGTTCACTCTAAATCCCTGCAGTGGCTGGCTCTGGCTGGGCCCTAGCAGGGGCATGGGAGCTGAGACTGGAATCTAATCCAGGTGGGAGACAGAAACCCAGCCACTCAAGCTAGCATCTGCGGCTTCCCAGTTTCTGCCCTAGCAGGAAGATGCAACTGGGAATCACAGCCAGGAATCAAACTCACTCTCAGAGGGTGCGTGGTTGTTTTAAACTAGCACTTTAACTCCTAAGCCAAAAGAGACCCTTCCAAATGCAATTTTAAAGAATTATTCATGTATGAAATTTAGCATACCTGTATGGCCTTGCAGTTAAGTCAATGCAAGATAACCATATCCTACCATTTCAGAAATGTCTGAATTCAAGTCCTACCTTCACCAGAGTCTAGCTTCTTGGTAATGTGCACCCTGGGACAGCACTTGTGTTCCTGCCACACATATGGGAGATGTAGACTAAATTACTGGCTCAACCCCAACCATTACAGACATTTCTGGGGAAATCAATAATGAGAATTTTCTGTTTATGTCTTTCTGTATCTCTGATGCCCAAAGAAGAAAAAATATTTTTTTTAAAGATTTGTTTTTATTTATTGGAAAGTCAGATATACAGAGAGGAAGAGACAGAGAGGAAGATCTTCCATCCGGAGATTCACTCCCCAAGTGAGTGCAAAGGCCAATGCTATGCCGATCCAAAGCCAGGAGCCAGGAACTTCTTCTGGGTCTCCCACACGGGTGCAGAGTCCCAAGGCTTTGGGCTGTCCTCAACTGCTTTCCCGGGCCACAAGCAGGGAGCTGGATGAGAAGTGGAGCTGCTTGGATCAGAACCAGCGCCCAAATGGGATCCCGGCGCGTTCAAGGCAAGGACTTTATCCGCTAGGCCACACCGCCGGGCCCAAAAAATTTTTTAAATAATATAGAGGTCAAGTCCATGCTGGCAAGCAGACACAGTAGGCTAATCCTTTACCTGTAGCGCCAGCAACCCATATATCTCCCAGTTTACATTTTGGCTACTCCACTTCATAACCAGCTCCCTGCTTATGGCCTGGGTGGGTAGCATCCAGGGTCTTAGGATGCTGCATGCCCAAGGGGGACCAGGAAACAGCTGAGGGGGTTGCAGCCATTTGCAGAATAAACCAGCAAACGGAAGATCACTCTGAAATCTGCCTTTCAAACAAAAAGATAAATCCTTTATAGAGCTACATCTATCTATCTATATATGTATCTATCTATTTATGTATGTATATATCTACATATCCATAGATAGATAGATACAGCTATAGATATATAAGCCAGTACCAGGGCATAGCAAGTTACCCCTCTGCCTGCAGCACCAGCATCTGATATGAGCACCTACTTTCCACTGAGCTCTCTACTAATGGCCTGGGAATGGAGTGTTGACCATGTGCTTGGGTCCACGCACCCACATGGAAGACCCCCAGCCTACAGTTTCCTGCTAATGCACTTGGAAAGACAGCAAAGGGTCCAGCGGTGTGGCCTAGCAGCTAAAGTCCTCGCCTTGAACACACCGTGGGATCCCATATGGGCACCAGTTCTAATCCTGGCAGCTCCACTTCCCATCCAGCTCCCTGCTTGAGGCCTGGGAAAGCAGTCGAAGACGGCCCAAAGCCTTGGGACCCTGTACCCGTGTGGGAGACCCAGAAATAAGTTCCTGGATCCTGGCTTTGGATCGGCACAGCACTGGCCGCTGCGCTCACTAGGGGAGTGAATCATCTGATGGAAGATCTTCCTCTCTATCTCTCCTCCTCTCTGTATATCTGACTTTGACTAATAAAAAAAAGACAGAAAGAAAGAAAGACAGTAGAAATGCCAAAAGGGCTTGGGCCCCTGCCATAACAGTTTCTGGTTTTCACTTTTCGAGAGGTCCAGACAAGCCTGCTGCAGCCATCTGAGGAATGAGCAAGCAGATCAAATTATCAATTTCTCTATTGTCTCTGCCTTTCAAGTAAATAAATCTTCGAAGGTGGGAAAATTATATATATATACTGGGTTCAACACCGTGATATAGCACGTTAAGCTAACAAGTGAAATGCTGGCACCCTATATGGGTGGCACTTCCACTCCTGGCAGCTATACTTCTGTGTCATCTTGCTACAAATGTGCCTGGGAAAGTGGCATAAGATGGCTCAAATGCTTGGGCCCCTGCCACATATGAGGAAACCAGAATATTTCTGGCCAGTAGCTTCAGCCTGGCCAAGCAGTTGTCGCCACTTGAGGAATGAATCAGTGGATGGAAGATTTATCCCCCACCCCTCTGTAACTGTTTCAAATAAAATAAATCATTAAAAGAAACCACTGCTTTATATTCTAAATATAACAATTTCAAAATGTTTAAGTTGCTTTAGTGACAGACTTCAACATATTCAAGAAAACATTTTTCAAAATCCACTTTTTTACCTGAAAAAGGTTAAGGGCTCTGACTGCCGCAATATCCAACTTCATGTACTGGCTGAAATCAAAAGTAGTCAGCTCAAACTGTCCGAAATTAGAATCGTCAGATAAGAGTTCTAAGAACTTAATAACTGCAGACAACGAGGAAACTGCAACCTAAAATTAAGAAGAAAAAAATATATAAGATTTCTACCATCACTAAGATAAACTGTAGTTTTTAAAACACACTTGTAGGCAGTTCCTCATCCCTGGGTACTAGGACTTGTGGCAAGTCATGAGTGGTTTTCCCCTTTGTCTCTCCCACTTCCCCTAGAAACAACAAGAAAGAGCAAATTTGGAAGCAACGTGTACAACCAATTTTCCCTAAACCTTGACCATTTCCATCCTGATCCAACATGCAATCATTTTAAAAAAATAAAATAAAAATAAAATTTACATAGAAAAATAACATAAAAGTAATCTTAAAAAAAAAAAAAAAAAAAAAGAAAAGAAACCAGGCCTGGAAGGGTAGCCCAATGGCTCAAGTCCTCACCTAGAACGCACCAGGATCCCATCTGGGCAAATGTTTTAATCCTGGAAGCCCCGCTTCCCATCCAGCTCCCTGCTTGTGGCCTGGGAAAGCAGTCAAGGACAGCCCAAAGCCTTGGAACCCTGCACCTGAGTGGGAGACCCAGAAGAGGCTCCTGGCTCCTGGCTTCAGATTTGTTCAGCTCCAGCCACTGCAGCCGCTTGGGGAGTGAATCAGCAGATAGAAGACCTTCCTCTCTGTCTCTCCTCCTCTCTGTATATCTGACTTGCCAATTAAAAAAAAAAAATTCCTTAAAAAAATGTAGATAAGTCATAATTTTAACAAAATAAATGAAATGGGTAAATTCTGCCACATCTATACTGTAGAGTACTTGGCAAAAATAAATCTGACCAGTGAATCCAAACTATACTCCACAATCAGATAAATCTTACAAACGTAATACTGAATGAAAAGTCAGCAAAGAAAATTATCTATTCCACTCACAGAAAATACAAAAACAGTGAAACTGATCTACATTGAGGTCAGACCCAAGCCTGGTGGAGTAGTGATTGTAAGGAAGTCTGAGGGGCCTCCAGGTCTTCAAGATTCTTCTAGACTTCAAGAGGCTAGTTATGGCATTATGTTCAGTTTTAAAAATTAAGTTATAGGGCCTGGCGCGGTGGCGCAAGTGGTTAAGGTCCTCGCCTTGCACGCCCGGGATCCCATATGGGCGCCGGTTCTATCCCAGCAGCCCCGCTTCCCGTCCAGCTCCCTGCCTGTGGCCTGGGAAAGCAGTCAAGGACGGCCCAAGGCTTTGGGACCCTGCACCTGCATGGGAGACCCGGAAGAGGCTCCTGGCTTCGGATCGGCATAGCATGGGCCCGTTGTGCTCACTCTTCCTCTCTGTCTCTTCCTCTCTGTATATCTGCCTTTCCAATAAAAAAATAATAAAAATAAATCTTTAAAAAAAAAATTAAGTTATAGGACCAGTGCTGTGGCAAAGCACACAAAGTCCCTGTTTGTAATTCTGGCGTCCCATATGGGCTCCAGTTCAAATCCTAGCTGCTCCACTTTAGTTCCAGCTCTCTGCTGATATGGCTCAGAAAGTAACAGAAAATGGTTAAAGTCCTTGGCCCCTGCGCTCCTGGCTTCTAGTTTTGAACTGGCCCAGACTTGGCCTTTGCAGCCATCAAGGGAATGAACCAGCAGACAGAGCACTTTTTTCTTTCTTTTTCTTCCTCTCTCTCCTTTTCTCCCTCCTTCCCTCTTTCCATTTCTCTCTCTGTAACTCTATCTTTCAAATGAATTCATCTTAATCAAAAAAAAAAAAAAAAAGTCGCTATTGGGGCCGGCCAAGAGGTATCATTGGTTACTCTTCCAACGTGCAGTGCCAATATCTCATACAGGTGCCAGTAAAGTCCCAGCTACACCACTTCTGATGTAGAGTCCTGCTTATGGCCTGGGAAAGCAGTGGAGGATAGCCCAAATGCTGGACCTGCATCCATGCAGGAGGCTGGGAATAAACTCCTGGCTCTCAGTTTGGACTGGCTCAACTCTGGCTGTTTGGGAGTGAACATTTGGGGAGCGAACCAGTGGATGGAAGAGCTTTCTCACTTATCTCTCCTCTTCCTGTAAATTCTGTCTTTCAAATAAAAGAAAAAAATAAATAAATCTTTAAAAAATCTAAATTCACTATTGTAAAGTATAAATCAATGCACGTTTGTAATCCACACACCTGATTCTCCATTTCTGGCAAAACAGCACTATTTGTTTGCTCTCCCTTCTTGCCTTTCAACAACCTGTTGAGGTCCTGATAAATGTCTTTAGAAGAAAAGTCCGTTTTCTTCCTTTCTGTAATCAGAATTCCTCCTCTCTGAATAACCTGTAAGAAATATTTTCAATCACTATAAGAAAAGGAAAACTGCAACACCAACAAAGTGACAACAAGTGAACCTACACTAAAATCTTTCACAATACACGATTTTTAACAGATTTTTAAACTTAAAAATTGGGCCCAGCATGGCAGTCTAGTGGCCAAAGTCCTTGCCTTGCACACACCAGGATCAAATATGGGTGCCGGTTTGTATCCCACATGCTACACTTCCCTTTCTGCTCCCTGCCTGTGGCCTGGGAAAGCAGTAGAGGATGGCCCAAAGCCTTGGGATTCTGCACCTGCATGGGAGACCCAGATGAAGCTCCTTGCTCCTGGCTTCAGATTGGTTCAGCTCTAGCCATTCTGGCCACTTGGGGAGTGAGCCAGTGAATGTAAGATCTTTCTGTATCTCCTTCTCTCTATAAATCTATAAATAAATTCTCTAAAAAAAATTAAAAGAAAAAACCTTAAATTCTGTCACTGAAATTTGAAGCTGCATGCACAAAGATTCAAAACCAGTCTCAACAGTAAAAACTCCTCAGAGAAACAGAAAACTGCTTTAGACACTACCTAGTGAGAAACGGCCATCATGCTTTGCTATCAAAAAATAGTCCTAAGACATTGTATCTCCTTTGATAGACACACACTGATTCCAATAACATCTAATGTAACAAGTATTCCTTTAACAAAGAAGGGGGAGGAAGGGAGAGAACAAGGGCAGGGAAACCAATGCAGAATAAGTCTCACACAAGTAATCCTTCTAATGTTCTTCCACAGATACAAAGTTTATGCAAAATACATTGCCCCAAATAAAACATTCCAACCAAATTTTTAAAAAGACTTTTAAATTATTTTGCCCTGAGTCTAAGTCCAGGACAGAGCCCTTCCCAAGCCTACATGTTCCTCTATCCCTGGACTTGATTCTCTTACCTGCCTCAGTTTCCCCATGTCTCCAGCAGTCTCTCCTCCTGGTAAAACACATTCCTTGGGTCCAATCTGAACCAGGAGCGCCTCGAGGTTGGAGAACTGGTCATTATCAGGGAACTCACACAGTCCTAGCTTCCTCTGGAGGGAATCCACATACCCAACTCCAACCTGCCTTTGACCATCAACTACAGACATCTTGACCCCCACCACACCAATGGAAGCTGACATATCATTGTTACCAAACAGAATATCTTCAAACTGGGCAAGATTGCCAGGAGAAGCCTAAGAGAAAAATAAAGAAAAGTTCTAATTAACTGCTGAACATACTTTCAAATTTTACTAGCAGACAAGAATCATGCCAACGAGGATGAATTTTGCTAATAATAAAATGCTTTCTTATTAAAAGTAGGGTTGTGGGAGGGGTGGGGGGAATCCCAGTACCTATAAAACTGTATCACATAATACAATGTTATTAACAATAAAAAAAAAAGTAAGTGCTTGTAATTATATGCCTTGTTGGTTATTATTATATTTTCTATAAAAGTATCCTCCCTTCTTTTCCAATTACTTTTAGAATACTTGGGGATTATTTTATTTTTCTTTTTTTTTTTCCAAAAGTTCATGAAAAACGAAATTAAAGTTTATTTTGATGCCAAATATTTTTGTACCCATGCACTGTGTTTTCATATCATATTTCCCATAAACTCTGGACACCTTTGTATGTCAAACCTTTGCTCACATATCGACTAACATTCCTAGTCATATGGCCAAGGCAAACAGTGGGACAGGAAATGCATATATTCTGTTAGGAAAGGGAGAGAAGAGAGTACTTGGGGAGTAAATCCAGTTGCCACAGGACATCTTTTGTGTAAGAGATCCTAACTGGTACAGTAAGACAAATGAAAGAAAAGTTAAATTCCCAGATAATGACAAATGCCTACGTGAACAGTTCAAAAGCATAGCATCACTGTATGTTACAGAGTTTGTTTCATCAATACCATCTCACTTTGCAGTTGTATTTTCCCAAACCTTCAAGTGTGCCATGAACAGATAAACAGTGCTACTGCAGAGGCCAGAGGTATGCCAACAGGAAGGCCAGCATGCACTCAAGTGGTGAGGACAAAACAGTAGGTCCAGAGATACTCTTACCCCTAACCAATAGGGAGCCATGAGTTCAGGGGGACTATGCCATCTGGAACTGACTCAAATCCTGAGATTACAGGCCACGAGCACTGTCCCCCTCACCACAAACTCAACCCGACCAGAAGACATCGCAGCTCTGTAACAGCTCCACCAGTAATATATTAATCAGCATTTAGTGACAATTAATACACGGCTGAATTATTCACACTTCCAGTTTTTTCCACCCCTAATTAAGACCATTAAGAAGGAAGACAATTACCTTAAAAGCCAAATACCAATCATTCTCCTTGGTCGCCTTATTTCCAGCTCTATTTTTATAAACTTCAACTCTATATTGACGAACTAGAAGAAGATCTTTCACAAAAGACTCAAAATTCATTTTACTAAGCACAACACTTTGCAGAGTCTTTGCTCCTAAAAAATAAAAACAAAACTCGTTATTTATTTGAGAATTTGTTGTGCATCAACAACAGGCTTCTCCAAGCTGAACATCCTCCCAATCACGTATTCACGCAACAAACTGGCTCTTCAACTCTAGGGATTCTGAAGGGCACAAAACAGTGAACATAATTCTCTGCTCCAGCGGATGTACAGAGTGCAATGAAAAATTCTGGAATACACACACACACACACACATATAAAGATAAAACAGAGTAATTGGTCATGGTGTAAGGTTTCTCCTAAAGTGACATAATCCACAATTTACAATTGTGGTGGCTGCTCAATTCTGAATATACTCAATACCACTGCAAGCAGATGTGACGTAAATGAACTCTTTATATGGATTATTTCAATCCATGTGGTATAATATTTTAAATATAGTATAGGTCGGCAGTCAGAAAACAGAGTTCTATAGTCAGAGAACAGAGCTACGGCTAGAGCTTTGCAGGGCAAAATGGCAAGGCTGGGGTTGCATGGAGGGTGGGGAAGCCGTCAAGGCACTGCACTCCTGAGGGACCCTCGCACGTGCAGGAACCACACCTCAGTAGCCACTAGCAGAGGGGCCTTACGCACAGCCTGGCAATGCCAATGCTCCAGTTCTTCCACGCGGAGCTGCAAGGCTCTGAAGACCAGCTCTCAGGTATGGAGGCCAAATGCACAGGAAAATGGTTATGCAATAGGGAAGGAGAGCTGAGGCTAGCTGGCAGCAAAGCTGAGGAACAATGGAACAATTGTCTGAGTCCCAGCAGCAGCCTAAACAAAGGACATGAGGAAGACGCTGGGGCAGAGGAGCTGAAGCGAAGCTGGCAGAAGAAATATGGGATGTTAGTGCCCTGGTAGGACACAGGCAGAAAAATTCCAGTGATTACTGACATTACCTAGGGAACTCAACTCTGGTCTTTATAAATCATGCATATTTAATGCACATGGCATGTTTTGATAGCCATAGTGAAATGATCACTACGGTCACGTAGGGGTGTGTCAGAGCACCTAAAATCTACTCAAATTTCCAGTACATAATGTTAACTGCACATGAGAACCTTACACTTACTCATCCTACACAACTGCACACCCTTAGATGCCTGGCTCTGCTCATGGCTCTCCCTGACCCTGACAACCTCTGGTCTGCTCCTCTTTATTTGACTTTTTTTTTTTTTTTTTAAGATTTATTTATTTTTACTACAAAGCCAGATATACAGCGAGGAGGAGAGACAGAGAGGAAGATCTTCTGTCCAATGATTCACTCCCCAAGTGAGCACAATGACCGGTGCTATGCCGATCCGGAGCCAGGATCCAGGAACTTCTTCTGGGTCTCCCAAGCAGGAGCAGGAGCCCAAAGCTTTGGGCTGTCCTCAACTGCTTTCCCAGGCCACAAGCAGGTAGCTGGACGGGAAGTGGAGCTGCCGGGATTAGAACAGGTTCCCATATGGGATCCTGGCGCATTCAAGGCAAGGACTTTAGCTGCTATGCCACAGCACCCGGGCCCTGTATTTGACTTGTTAAGAATGCACATTTAGGGCCCGGCGCGGTGGCGCAGTGGTTAAGGTCCTCGCCTTGCACGCCCGGGATCCCATATGGGCACCAGTTCTATCCCGGCAGCCCCGCTGCTTCCCTTCCAGCTCCCCGCCTGTGGCCCGGGAAAGCAATCGAGGACGGCCCAAAGCTTTGAGACCCTGCACCCGCGTGGGAGACCCAGAAGAGGCTCCTGGCTTCGGATTGGCATAGCATCGGCCTGTTGTGCTCATTTGGGTGTGGAGAGCGGAGCCGCACCTCAAAGATGGCGCTTGTTGACCACTGCTTCAGGGCACAAAGGAGGTAAACAGGTTTTGGGAAGTTACTAAGGATTGGGCCGAGCACGCAGGGAAGCTACGTGACCTAAGTCATGATTGGTGTGCTTATCACATGATGTGAGGAACTGTGTATGGATTGGTTTGTGTAATGTAAAAAAGTCTGGGTGGAAAATAGTTAATGAGGAGATTCTCCCAGGCGCACTTCAAGGCTAGAGCTAGAGCTATCGCTATCACTTCAAGGCTATTGCTAGCTAGCACTAGGCTGCTTTTGCTTTACTGTAATAAATCTTACATGTGCTGTAACTGCTTTCACTTTGACACAACGCTTGAAGTCTTGACCAATAAACTTTTTTAAGAATCTTTACCGTATCGGGGTCTTACTCGCAGGACGAGGGACCCCGATACTTGGGGAATGAATCATTGGACGGATGATCTTCCTCTCTGTCTCTCCTCTTTGTATATCTGCCTTTCCAATAAAAAATAATAAAAATAAATCTTTAAAAAAAAAAAAGAATGCACATTTAGGGCCCGGCGTGACAGTGTAGTGGTTGAGGTCCTCACCTTGCATGTGCCAGGATCCCATATGGGCGCTGGTTCTAATCCCAGCAGCCCCACTTCCCATCCAGCTCCCTGCTTGTGGCCTGGGAAAGCAGTTGAGGATGGCCCAAAGCCTTGGGACCCTGCACCTGTGTGAGAGACCCGGAAGAACTCCTGGTCCCTGGCTCCTTGCTTCTGATCAGCGCACCTCAGGAGAGCACTGGCCGTTACAGTCACTTGGGGAGTGAATCATGGGAAAGAAGATCTTCTTCTCTGTCTCTCCTCCTCTCTGTATATCTGCCTTTCCAATAATAAATAAATAAATAAATCTTTTTTTTTAAAAAAAGTATGCGCATTTGAATCGAGACCATGCAATGTTTTCACTTAGTACAATGCCATCTGGGTGGTCACAAACTTTAGAATTTCTTTTTAGGGCTCAGCAATGTTCCACTGTTCATCTATGCTACATTGCTTTATCCATATGTTCAGCAATAAGTACTTAGGCCATTTCAGATCAAGGCCATTGTGAAAAATATCACAATGAATATAAACAGATGATCCTAGATTCTTCTCAGATTTAGACTGTAATTTTACTAAAAATAACAAGATGCTCTCATTTTTGATTTTGAGTTTGTTCAGGAATCTGATTATTCCCTTAGCATAAATACCAAACAGTGAAACTCCTAATTAAGGGGCACCATTTTCTGGTAGTTTATTTACAAGGCAGAGTAACAGATTTTCCACCGCTGGTTCACTCCCTAAACTCCCTATACAGCTGCAATGGCCGTAGCAGGGTCAGGCAGCAGTCAGAAGCCTGGAATTCCACCTGAGTCTCCCACACAGATGGCAGGGGCCCCACAGCTGGGATACCAACTGATGTCTCCAGCAAGCATGAATGAGAATCTGGACTGGAAGCAGAGTACCCAGCACTCTGGTACTGACCAGAAATGTCCACATCCCAAACGGCAGCCTGATGTACTGTACTACAGCACCTGCCCCCACTTCTCTTCCTGGGCCCTTCCCAGCTCGTCTTTCATTGCTTTCCCCAAGAAGGGCAATTACGCTACAACTCCTCGTAATGTAAGTAACTACTTCTGCTATTCTTGTTTTTATAGGCCAGTATCAAACAACAGCTCTCTTTTTAATCCTGGCTTTTTATTCTACAGTGTGAATAAACAGTTTACTTATCTGTTTTACCGCTGATGGGCGTTTAGGTGGTTTCCAGATTGGGGCTACCGACACTGTTACACTTTTCTTTTAGTAAATACACACATATGCATTTCTGCTGGGTCTGTATTCCACTGCTAACAAGAACTACCGGGCCAGGGGCTATGTACGTGCACAATCAGCTTTAGCAAGCACTTACTAACAGTTTGCCAAGGTAACCACAACCAATCTGTACTCCCACCAGTTGTGCCTGAGTGACCCAGGAGCCACACCCTTGCCAATTCTCAGCATCTGCCAGCATTTTTGCAATTTAATCATTCTTATGATACATTATAAATAATTTTTTATACTTCGGTTTTAACTTGAGCACATTTTCACACATTCATCAGGCATTTAAACATCTCCTATAGAGTTTATGGTTGGTATTTCCTTTCTACAGAATTATACTGATTCTTTGTTAATCTATGAAGATCTTTAAGGATTATTACACCACTAATCTTCAATCCAGAAAGCTTGAACCCCTCCTGGTAGTATGTAAGAGTACTACCTCTCCTTATTCTTACCAATACCATAACTTTATCACCTTTGCCCATTTCAAGCTCAAATTCAGAATAACCATGATTTCCATGCATTTCACAAACCTGCGAAATCTCAAAAACAAAGCAAAAAAACAGTACCAACTCAAACCCATATTTTTGCTTTCCAGCCTCCTTTTGACATAAATCATTTCACAAAAAAACAGTAAGTGCATACAATGCCTCCAAGTTCACCAGTGTTCAAGCTCAGAGAACCACCATACACGCCCGTGGCATCCATCCACTTGCAGCAAGCACTGCTTAGCTGGAAGCATGACACATTCCTCCCAGCATACAGCAACAGGCTGCACAACCACCCATCTGTCCTTCCCCCGTGACAGCTCAAATGCAAGGAGACATCACGCTGGTGTACCCATGGCTTTCAGGAGCCCCAGAAGAACGTGACAGTCATCAGGCACCTCATCAGAGCCTGCATGCTCTCCAGGGACGACAGCAAGCCTTCTCAGCCTAAACAGCTGTGGGGAAACCCGGCAGCAAAACTTTCTTAACTCTTTACCAACATGGCATAAAGTTAACATGAAAGAGTCCTCCCAAGAAAGTGTCAGCAGCGTTACATCAACATGCATCATAAACAATCTTCAGTGGCATTTCGTCATTTCCAGTTTTGGAGAACCATGGTACATGGCTCAATATTTTCATTTATTTATTTGGAGGACAGAGGATCAGCAAGGCAGTCCATGAAGAGATGCCCACCCAGCTGTTTCACTCCCCCACGTGCCCACCACAGCCAAGGTTGGGCCAGGAAGTCAGAACTCGGGGTGGACCTACCATGTAAGTAGCAGGGATTCAGCTCCATAGGACAACACCTATGTTCTCAGGCTCTACATTACCGAGAGGGAAAGTAGTCATGGACGGCCCAAAGTCTTGTGGGATCCTGGCACCCCTGTGGAAGACCCCAAAGAGGATTCTGGCTCCTGGCTTCTGATCGGCTTAGCACCGGCAGATTGGGGAATGAATCATGGATGGAAGATCTTCCTCTCTGCCTCTCCTCCTCTCTGTATATCTGCTTTTCCAATTAAAAAAAAAAAGCTTTAAACAAAACAAGTTCTAAAAAGACAGAAAAATCATACAAATACATACAAGTATTTTCAGAGGTTCGCCTTGCTAAAAACTATTCTAAACTGAACACTGAGACAGGACAGCAATGGGAACCAGGATTATAAAATTTCTTTTTTTTTTTTTTAGATTTATTTTTTTTTATTACAAAGTCAGATATACAGAGGAGGAGAGACAGAGAGGAAGATCCTCCATCCCATGATTTACTCCCCAGGTGAGCGCAAAGGCCGATACTGCGCCAATCCAAAGCCGGGAACTAGGAACCTCTTCCGGGTCTCCCACATGGGTGCAGGGTCCCAAAGCTTTGGGCCATCCTTGACTGCTTTCCCAGGCCACAAGCAGGGAGCTGGATGGGAAGCAGGGCCGTCGGGATTAGAACAGGTTCCCACATGTGATCCTGGCGCATTCAAGGCGAGGACTTTAGCCGCTAGGCCAAGACGCTGGGCCCCAGTATTGTATAATTTCTAAAATTGCAAATCAGGCATGTGGGCCCAGGGACAGGTGGCTATTGGCTACGCCCACACCCCACATCACAGTGTTGCCTGTCCGGCTCCGGCTTGGTTAATGCATCCTGGGGGACAGCAGACACTGCTCAAGTGTTTGGACCCTTGCACTCATGCGGAGACCTGGATGGAGCCCAAGCTGCCGCTGCCTGGCCCAGCCTTGGTTGCTGCAACTTTGGGGGGTGAAGCAGAAAATGGAAGATCTCTCTGTTTCTATTTCTCTCTGCCTTTCAAGTGGATGAAAACAACTTAAAAATGTTAATGTTTGGGAAAGCAACCTAGACACTCACCAACTATGAAGCTGATCTCAAACCTCTACTCTGAGCCCCCTTCTAAACCGCCTGCCACGCTACAGTCCATTCTAAGTGATCCAACACCTTGAGGTTAATGAGCAGTCTTGAGCCGCTCGCTGTCTGCAGCACAAAAGCTCCCAACATTAGGACACCTGCGCTGACATCCCCATCCGCCATTTTTCTGCACCAGAATAACAATCTACTTTATTTCAGTCTAAATTCCAGGAGGCACGTGAGATCTTCAGCCACCCTCTCTCTACACAGCTCTAAAGCCCTCCAACCCTAAACTCGGCGTCCTTCGGCGCCCAAAAAGTGACAGGAAGCTCCAATTCAGAAGCAACTTTTGTCAAGAACATTCCATCTGCATGTCTGGCCCAGAACCCCCTCTTCCCAACTTCTGGAATCCCCTGGAGCGCCCTTTATTTTATATACAACTGAAAGCCAAAGCCACCGCGCGCCGGCCAGGAAAGGGTTGAACAGCCGCTATCTGGCACAGGTACAGCCCACACAGGAGGATTCCGGTGTGGTGGGCGTGCCCCAGAAGGCCGCCTGCCTGCGGGCAACAGGCTCCAGATGCTCGGATGCTCGGCTTCCCAGGCCTGCCCAAGGTCACTCCGTCAACAACGGGAAATTCGAATCCAGAGCACACGGGCCCGACTCCGAGGCCACAACACCCCTCCTCAAGCGAGAACCTGGAGGGAGGGTCTCGTGGACAGTCATACGGGTGACAGAAAAGGACAAACTGCCACATCTCCCCCCTACTCAGCCTCCCATGATCTGTGGGAAACCGGCGGTCAGAGCTGAAAAGCAAAGTGGTAACACCTTAGCACAGGCAAACACTGGGCGAGCGCGCGGAGTCCCGTTCCCGAGCGGCTGAAGGGGCGGGCCCCGGGTCCGCTGAGCTGGGGGGACGGGACAAAGGAAGCCGGGTCCCCACTCCAGGCGGCGTCCTCCCGCGCCTCACCTGACGGCCCCATGTACTTAATGACCCCCTGGGTCTTGAACACTTCCCGGGCGGCCAGAAGCGCGTCCTCGCCATGCGCCGTGTAGAAGTCGCCCCTGTCGAAGAGCCGCACCGTGGTGGCCGGCTTCTCCGGCATGCCCTGGAAGAAGCGCACGAAGCCGACCTCGGCCGCACTCTCCAGCTGCAGCGTCTCCTTCGGCTGCACCGCCATGGCGAAACGTTCCCAGATCCAGGCTCAGGTGCCCGCGCCAGCCTGCGCCCACCGAGCTGTTTCCCGCCTCCCCTCACACACCCAGAGCGCGGCGGCCCGACCTCGCCTCACACAGCCAATCAGCAACCAGCGCTGCGTCTCGGTGGGTGGGCATCCGCCGCGGCAACCAATCGTTGGCGGACTCGGCCCAGCTTCCCGCGCACGCCTGGGGCTTCGCCGAGTGCGCAGGCGCGCCGGAGTCGCGAGTGCCCGGGGAGTGGTTTGGGGTTTCGCGGCTGCGCAGTCGGGGATCCCGGTGTTTGGCCGGGCCCGCATAGACCCAAGGGGACTCTCCCTGCCGGTGGAGTATGTTAAAGTGGCCGGAAATAGGGGAATGATGCAGAAACTTGAAAACAAAGAAAAGTAACCTCGGTCCTCATCCCTCCTACCCTTTTGTTTTGAAAGCCGACTAGCGACACCAGAAGTGCACGTGTAGTTTCCGCAACTGAATTCCTTCATCCATTCGTTGTTCATTCTAAAACCTGTTTCAGTGGCCTGCCAAGTGCCGTGCTGTTGTGGGCTCTGACACCAATAAGTCATTAAGTCCTGCTTCCGTTCTAATCAACGGGTCCCGGTAATGTATGTAGCAGGGAGCCAGATGGTGCCTTAGAATTAAGTCCTTAGGTCAACACTGTTTTCCTAAGATTGATGGATTATTTATTTATTCAGAAGGCAGAATTATAGAGAGAGGTCTTCTATTTGTTGGTTCGCTCCTCAAATGGCCACAGAGGCAGGGTCTGGGCCATATTGAAGCCAGGAACTTCTTCAGGTCTTCCACATGGGTGCAGGAAGCACTTGGCCCATCTTTACCTGCTTCCTCAAGCACCTTGGCAGGGAGCTGGGTCAAAAGTAGAGTAACACGGACTCGAACTGGGATGCTGCTGCCACAGAAAGCAGTTGAGCAAATTGCTAAGTGATATCAGAGTCGCCTTAGGGGTTTTTCATGGGTGTTATTGGGCCTCATTCTCCTAAAATACACTGCAATTCCTAGAGGAGGGAGCACCAACCATTTGGGGGAGGAGAGTAGTTTTATTTATTTGAAAGTGGCAGAGAAAGAAGAAAATGTTCTCTTCACTGACTCACTACTCAAAGGGCCACAGTAGATGGACCAGGCAGAAGCCAGGCTGTAAGTGTAGTGCATGGGGCTGCTGTATGGTGTGCATCCCTCACCCCCACCCCGGCATCCCATATGGGCTCTAGTTGGTGTCCTGGCTGCTCCATTTCAGATCCACCTCCCTGCTAACATGCCTGGGAAAGCAGTGGAGGACAGCCCAACTGCTTGTGAGAGAGGAGTTAGAGTGGGTAGTAGGCAGTTAGGGTATTCTGGGTCCCCAAGTAAAAGAGAATTTCCCCACCATGTCTTGGATTCACCAGGGCACGCCTCTTCCAAGGGACTGGGGTGCTATTAGCATATCAATTACCCACCTGAAGTATTGGCCACTATCTCTGGCCATTGTGGGAGGGCCTCAGGCTGATCTCTTTATCATTGAAAGGGGAGCAGGAAGAAGAATTACACATCTGCCTAAGGCCTAGAATGTCCTATGTCTGGCACCTCTGTGGCCTTTTGTCCCAAGGCCAGGTACCATGGAAACCAGTAATTTTTTTTATTCATGGAGAAACATCTTTGAGGGAAACCTTTAAAAGGTGCATTCCCCACCATCAATACGGGTTCTCATTTTCCTCCTGCCACTATGACAGAGCACTAAGGTCTTTTTACTCTTCCTCCTGCCACTGTGGCAGGGGGTAAGGGTCTTTTCTATCTCAAAACCCCCTCCCGTCGCTAGGACCGGAGTCTTCTCTTCTCAGCCTTTCTAATAAATCTTGCTTTAAAACTAAACTGTGTCCGCATGAAAATTCTTCTTTCCTGCAAGACAAGAATTGAGGTTGCTGCCGCATTCAGGGTCAAAACTCCTGCAACACTTGGACCTCTAAACCCACACGGGAGACCCAGAGAGGGGTTCTGGTCCTGGTTCCTGGCTTTAGTCTGGCCCAGCTGCAGTCATTTCCACCACTTGGAAAATCAACCAACAACACTCCGAAATGACCCCACCCAGCCCTTTGTGTTGCAAACTCCAGGTCCTCAGCTCAAAGGTTTCCCCACCTAGGGGAAAGCTTGTCTGGTTCTATAATTATTTTTGCCTTCTTCTGAGGTTCCTATTGGTATCTTTATTATAAAACTTAGTGTTTATGGGCCCAACGCGATGGCGCAGTGGTTAAGGTCCTTGCCTTGCATGCCCGGAATCCCATATGGGTGCCTGTTCTAATCCCAGCAGCCCCGCTTCACTTCCAGCTCCCTACTTGTGGCCCAGGAAAGCAGTGGAGGACGGCCCAAAGCTTTGGGACCCTGCACCCGTGTGGGAGACCCGGAAGAGACTCCTGGCTTCAGATTGGCTCAGCTCCAGCCGTTGCAGCCACCTGGGGAGTGAATCATTGGACAGAAGCTCTTCCTCTCTGTATATCTGCCTTTCCAATAAAAATGAATCTTTAAAAAAAAAAAGTGTTTAGGAACACATCTGATCAAATGCCTTTGTCACTAATCCCCTGAATGAATACTTACATAATTATTTGTAGTTCACAACACTGTGAACATTTCATTTTTGCTTCTGTTTCCTGTGCTAATCCATGCAACCTTAGATGTTTAAATTCCCTACATGAATGTCCCTAGACTTAAAGGTTGGATATAGTCAGGACACAGTCTCTCACCTCTCCCCGAAGCCGCTAGGTTCATGACACATCCTTTTTGATTAACCCTCTGCCTCTTTCCGCTTTTTCCTCCTCTTACCCTTCATCCTCTTCCTTGTCCTCTCCTGAACTAACCAGAATATTTCAAGTGTTCTGTCTTCAAGTTCAGATGTTCTTCTGTTCATTCAGTCTGCTACTGAGGCTTTCAGCTGCATTTTTTATTTATCTTTGTGAAAGAGTTTGAGAGGGAGAGACGGAGAGATCTTCCATTAGATAGTTCACTCTCCAAGTGGCAGCAATGGCCAGGGCAGAGCCAAGGTGAAACCAATAGCCAAAAATGTCTTCTGGGTTTCCTACGTGTTTGGCATGGGCCCAAGTACTTGAGTCATGTTCCAATTTTTTTTCCAGTGAGTTGGATTGGAAGTGGAATATACGGAACACAAACTGGCACCCTATGAGATGCTAGCATCAAAGGCAGCAGCTTTACCCACTATACCACAATGGTGGGTATAACACTATACCCACTATACCATTATATTTGGTATTTGACATTGAGTTCTTCATCTCTAAGATTATTGCGTGCTCTTTTTTATTTTTGTTGTCACTTTTTTTTGTAAAGATTGCTTTATTTTTGTTGGAAAGTCAGATATACACAGAGGAGGAGAGACAGAGAGATTTACTCCCCAAGCGGCTGCATCAGCCAGAGCTGAGTCGATCCTAAGCCAGGAGCCAAGAGCCTCTTCTGAGTCTTCCCTCATGGGTGCAGAGTCCCAAGGCTTTGGGCTGTCCTCGACTGCTTTCCCAGACCACAAACAGGAAACTGGATGGGAAGCAATGCTACCAGGACTAGAGCCGGCAGCAATATGGGATTCTGGTACTTATAAGATGAGGACTTCAACCACTAGGCTATTGTGCCAGGCCCTCTTTATCACTTTTTCTTTAAAGATTTCTTTTCTTTTTTATTGGAAAGGTGGATATACAGAGCCAGTAGCCTCTTCTGGGTTTCCCACGTGCGTGCAGAGTCCCAAGGCTTTGGGTCCTTTTGTAGTTTTGATAATGTTTACATACTTGATCAGGATGGGAAAAATCAAAGATTAGAGAAAAGTGGGTGTGGCCATCACTGTCAAATTTGCTATTTCTTCTTCCTGAATCTGGGGGAAGGGTTGGAGACAAGGGAGGAAGCCACACCCAGCTTCCCAACTACTCTAGTACTTGGGTATGGGGAACAGCCAATTGATATCAACCCACAGTCCCTGATATGATGCATGCTGTGAGGTGTCTCCCAAGAGATTCTGATAGTCAATCTTGCCGATCCAAGGATGAAGAATCCCTTCCAATGTTCTTTGGCTGGCATAGTCAACCTTAGAGTCTCTGTTCTCTCAAATATTTGCTGCCAACACTTGGCTGGGGTAGTTGTCCAATTTGTTGCGCCCTCCTCCCTCTGTTATGGTATCAGATGTCCTCTGCAGGCTCCAGTGGGCTGCCATGTCCTCCTTGTGCATCTGGGTATGCTTTCCACTGCTCCATCTATGCCACTGAGGAGGCCTAGTCCTGACACATGCACTCATACCACAGCCAGATCACCAATCTTGGACGTGAGACCTCACTCCCACGCATGCCTCCACCTGTGCCATAGCCAGACCCCTGCAAGCCCATACAGCAACTCCTCCCCTCCCCCACCAGTGTAGCACTTGGTGGCCAGGGAGCTTCCCTTGGCACCACTGGTGCCTTGGGAAGCCCAACCCAGGCTCCAACTGACACCTGTGAGCAGGAACTCCCTGACCCAAAACCCACAGTGCAGGTGGGCCCAACGACCCGGGCCAAGTGACACAGGCCTGTCCAAATCCCACTCCAGGGCCCAAGGAACCAATACTAAATGCGGTGCTGGGCCTAAGGACATGGGTCAAGAGACCCAGGCACTCTCAACTTTGTAGACAATATTAAACATCAAATTAAAAATAATGAAGTGGAGCAGTTGGGATGGGAACCCAGCATCAGGGTGCAGCTGTGGTTTAACCTGATATGCCACTGCACCATGCCTCTAGGGTTAATTTTTTTTCTACTGTTTTTTGAAAAAGATTTATTTATTTTTATTCAAAAGTCATATATATATAGAAGGAGGAGGGACAGAGAGAAGTATCTTCTGTCCAATGAATCACTCCCCAAGTGACTGCAACGATTGGTGTTGCGCCAATCCGAAGTCAGGAGAGAGGAGTTCTTTTGGGTCTCCCACATGGGTGCAGAGTCCCAAGGCTTTGGGCCTTCTCAACTACTTTCTCAGGGCATAAGCAGAGAGCAGAATAGGAAGTGGGGCTGCTGGGATTAGAACCAGTGCCCATATGGGATCCTGGAGCATTGAAGCTGAGGACTTTTAGCTGCCAGGCCATGATACTGGGCCATGCCTCCAGGATTAATTTCTTAGTAGCAACAATTCCTCAGCTGCCTCAGTCTAACTCCCTCAGTTTAATTTTCTCACACACCAGTCCACGAATTGGAACACTAATCCCTGCCCCAACTCACAAACAAGGCATTGGACACCTCTGTGGTTCCATAAGGGGCATCTTCGGAAGGTCCTGGCTCCACTCCCTGCACCTGCTTTGGACTTGGCCCAGACAGGAGTAATGTGCTCCCCGCGCCAAGGGCAAAGGGCGAGGTGACCTCCACTGCCGGCAGTGCTGGAATCTGCCACACAGTGATGGCTCAGTGCTGCTGGAGACTTTCGGTTCTGTGGCATCACTGTGCCCACGGACTTTCCACGCGTTATGGCAGTGCATGTTGCAGCGGCAGGCAAGGGGTCTACACTTTGAGACCAAGGCCTGAGTATCATATCAGTGGGTGCCAGGGCACAGCAGCAAAAAGGCTCCCCAACTCAGAAGTGTCCTCTTCCATCCAGGCAATTCCAATCTCACAGCAACCCAGATGCAGCAGCACACCTCAGGGCTGGCCTGGGGAAGAGCAGGGAGAAGTTGTTGGCTGGCCTGGGACACCACGGTGCTGTGCAAAGTCACAGCAGCCAGCTGGGGCTGACAGGAGCAGGGGAGGGAGAGCAGAGGCTGTGTCCCTCCAGGGCTGCCAGCAAATGGCTGTGAGCTAGCCTGGCTGCACCCAGCTCCTCACCTTGCCCCTTGCTCTGCCCTGCAACTCCAGCAGGACTTGGATTGCGTCTCTGGGGCCTGACTCCTTGCAAAGCACTGCGTGGCCACAGATGCCTCTCACGTCAGCACCAGCCCAGTCCCACAGGAAACTCCACCAGACAGGCACCTGACTCACTGGCAAGATGAGCCAGGCAGGTTACAAAGCCCTGGCCTCCTTCTGCCCTGTCCCCAGGCAGCTGTCCCGAGGTTCCAGCCGTTAACTCAAAACCTGCATCCACACCACAGAAAGCAGCAGAGGTCTGATGAAATCCCTGGGGTGCAGGGGCTGAGCAGGTGATACAGATGTTTGTGGTCTGTAGAAGCAGGAGGAAAGCAGTGAGCACTGGGGTGAGGAACTAGGCTGTGGGCAAGAAGCCAGTGTGCAGGGCAGAGCAGAGCTGGTGTTTCAAACCCCAGCTCTCAATTTGGCAAGCCCCAGGTTCTTGGCAGGTGGTGGCCAGTGAGAGTGAAGGAGCCTGGGATGAGGAGGCCAGCTGGCATGACGCAGCCTAGTGTGGTCTGGCTGACCTCATGTGAGGTTAGTGGTGTGCAGTGGGAACTCCCAGCCCGCAGACCCAGAGTTGGTCCCTGAACTCAACAGATACCTGCAAAGGGGATATCTCTACTTGCTGGGTCAGCAGGGGCTCTGCATCTGGCATGGAGGATTAGGTGAGAGGTGACAGAGCTCATGCGTACATTCAAGTCTACAGAAGTGCTGCTGGTTGAACAGACAGGTTCGGCCAACACCAGCCTTATTCCTGGGCTCCTTTCCCAGGGCAGGTAAGGAATGGGGTCAAGAGGTCTAGTGGCTCAGGGCTACTTGAGACTCTAAGTCCTGACTCTCTGAGCAACTGGGGCAGAGGCTGGCTCCCCAGAGTGCAGGCCTGGGGCTCCCCACAGCGCCACCTCCTCTGGGCCCATCAGAGCACTCTAACGTGGCCTCTCTTTACTGATGCTGGCATCACAGAACTATGTCCCATCTTATGCTGCCATGAAGTGCACCACGACAATGTGGTAGCCATAGCAGCATGCCACATGCTCTCTGAGCTGGCCTTCTGCTCTGCAGGGTGAGCAGCCTCTGCAGGAGACCCAGGCATGGCGGGCTGCTTCTGCCCACATATCGGCACCCTGTGACTTGACCGAGATCCCTGCAGCTCGTGCCTGCACAGGCATGTCCCTTCTCTCTGGGGTCTAGGAGGTGACATGTGTCACAGACGCTGAGATTTGAGCGAGCTTCTGCCTGTGTCTGCTTTTGCTTTGCTGTCTGCAGGGAACTTAAGCCACACTGGAGCCAGAACACTGTACGTGATGATGACCCTGTCTGTCACCAACCCACACAGACCTGAGCAGTCTGAGCTTATGGAGCTGTGTGAGAAGCCATGGAATTGGGTTGGATGGCATGGGTGTGTGATGAGCACTGATCTTGAATTAAGCAAGGCTAGGAGCATTTTCTGCCTGTATGGCCAGGCTGGAGAGAATGTCGCTAATTATTTCATTGCTGCCTCACCCCATTCTGTGGGCACTCCATCATCTCTCTGTTGATTCATAGAACTCTCCTCAGGTTGTTGTTCTTGTTTTTCTACAAATGTGGAATGATTCCTGTAAATGATATAATACCTCAAATTGATCAATCATATTATGGTAAAAGGATGTCTAGCAACTTAAGGCAATGACACACAGCTAAAAGCATACAATCGAGCCCATGTTGTTCCCAAACATCCCTTTAGGTGCTCACCTTTGTTCTGGAATTTGACCCAATATAAGTAATGTTCTCCTTGAGAAATGGCTTGGTAATATCTTGGATATTGATGGCAATTATGGAGGTACAAATAGTTTATGTATAATATACAAATAGTTTATAAAGCCTTAAACTTTTTTTTTAAAGATTTTTTTTATTACAAAGTCAGATATACAGAGAGGAGGAAAGACAGAGAGGAAGATTTTTTGTCCAATGATTCACTCCCCAAGTGAGCACAATGGCTGATGCTATGCCGGTCCATATGTGATCCTGGCGAGGTCAAGGTGAGGACTTCAGCCGCTAGGCCACGCCCCCGGGCCGAAATACTCTTGCATTGCTTGAAATTACGCACTTTGGCTTCCCATCATGTAGAGCAGAAAGTATATGGGGCATCTTCTTTTTTTTTTTTAAGATTTATTTTTATTATTTTTTCATTGGAAAGGCAGATATACAGAGGAGAGACAGAGAGGAAGATCTTCCGTCCGATGATTCACTCCCCAAGTGAGCGCAACTGGCCGATAATATGCCGGGCCGATAATATGCCGATCCGAAGCCAGGAGCACTTCCGGGTCTCCCACGCGGGTGCAGGGTCCCAAAGCGTTGGGCCGTCCTCGACTGCCTTCCCAGGCCACAGGCAGGGAGCTGGAAGGGAAGCAGGGCTGCTGGGATTAGAACCGGCGCCCATATGGGATCCCCGGGCGTGCAAGGCGAGGACCTTTAACCACTTGCGCCACCGCGCCGGGCCCTATGGGGCATCTTCTAAGGAAACAAAACATTGTGAGCCCTCACAAGAAAATGGTTTGAAACTTCTACCATTTGCACTTATATTTTGGAAAGAAACAGTTTATAAAAACTTCTACCTTTACTGGCACTCATATTTAGCGAAAGAAAAGTTTGTAAAGATACAAAAAAATTTCTTGCAAAGGCCCTCTCTTTGTAGAAAGGCGGAGTTATCCTGATCCCTTCCATTGTCTTTAAACAAAAGACAAAAAACAATTGAATCAGTACTAGGTGAAAGTGATGATAAGTAATGCATGATTGATTATAAGATTTAATATAGACTCTAAGATATATGCCTTTATAAATTTCTTTCATTTATGAGCTTTCTTTTTAAATCTGTACTCATGATAATTTAAGTAATATTAGTTTAGATTTAGTGAAAATTGATTTTGGATATAAGTAAACCAATTGTCACTATATAACCGCATGTGCTGCCAACTGTGGAGTTCCTGGCTTCAGCCAGATAACTGCAGGTTTGAATGAGTAATAGCTTACTGAAAATATTTTCTTTGAAGTAAACTAATAATAATATTTTTAGGATTGTTTTTGTATTCATTCTTTTATAATTAAGTAAAAATGAAACAATTGGATGTTGTGCAAAAGCTTGTGATGATTTGTGTATAAATAAAGAAGGCAACTTTTCTGAGTTTTCCATTACGAGTATCATGGCGTAGTGGTCCATGCCTCCTCTTCTTGTCTTCTCGCCAATCCATGCATCCTTAAAAGCTCTCAAGACAGCAGGAGCTGGTCTCTGGCAGGGCTGCCCAGCCTGCTCTGCTCCAACTGTTCTCTGCAGACTCACAGACTGAAGCCGGCACAGGAATAGCTCAATAGCTGGTTTCTCATGGAGCGTGGCTGTATGCAGGGGAAGTGAAAACAGAGGCACTCAAGCAGGTGGAGCAAAGCAAACCCTTAGAACTGTGATGCACCAGACAGGTGGAATCAGATATGCAACAGCAGAAGAGTTTTTATAGTTCTCCACTCTGCAGAGCTGGAGTTAGTGGCCTTCAGGTTAGTGGATCCTCTCCTGATTCATGCACAGGACATAGATCAGAAGTTCCTTCCCTCAGCAGAAGCCAGAGGGAAGACCAAACGAAAAGTATAAACACCAACTAGCATACTACTTATATTGTAGTTGAACTTGCGTTTAACCTGGAAGCCCATGGCCTGGTAGAGGCTCAGGGCAGCTGACTGCACTACACTGGTCTCCAGGACTACCTCACTGTAGCCCTGGTCCCGGGCAAACTGGATGACTGTCCTGACCAGGGACTTTGCTATGCCCTGACCCCGGTGTTCCATGCCCACAGACAGGTGAAAGAGCTGCAGCTGCTTCTCCCGCAAGGTGGATTCCTTCACAGGCAGAGCTCCCACTGTGCCCACCACCTGCCCCTCAGACTCAGCCACCCAGAAGCAGGAGCCTCTGCCACTCAGGTAGGTTTTCACAATGTCAGCCATGTCTGTCTGCAAACTCATGGCAATGTACTGCTTCCAGGGAACTGTGGCAACGAACTTCAACCCTGCAAGGAGGATGAAGCTTGCCAACAGGGCCAGGAGCCAGGAGCCAAAGACCAGGAAGAGCATGAGGGGCACTCCAGCCAAGATCAGGAGGGCTCGGGGTAGCTTCAACAGGTGGTAGAATGTTGCAGGGATGTGCTCCTCCATGCCCTGGGCAAACAGGGCCAGCACCTGCTTGTGGTCTCCAACGTGGTATTTGCGGATGTGGTAAGGAGCCATGGAGGGTGACAGTGAATCTCAAAGTCCACAGAGATAGCTGAGAGTCCCTGCACGCTGCTGCTGCGCTGGAGAAGACAGAAAGCCTCACATGAGAACCCGTGCAGCAAGCCTAACTTACCCAGAGTCCCTGTTCAAGGCTGCAACCTTGTCTCAGCCAGAGAGGTTGCAGATATGTCTTCCACCAGGGCTGAAACAGACTTCTGTCCTACCAATACTGCTGCAAGCATCACCCAACCTTTGTTGGTGAGTGGGTCTTCCTTAGCAGTGCAGGGGATTGTAATATCTGCTGCCCACAGTTACTGTGACAATCTCAAACACACACCTGCCGCCAGCTTGAGCACAAAGCCCTGGGCCTTCCTCAGCTCTTACTTCTTTCTCTTCATCACAGTGACACCACGGTGTCCCCTGCCCTTTGGTCCCCCACCATGGCCCAGGCGTTGCAGACCCTTGTCCCAAGCACCACACATAGGACCCTAGGGCCTCACCCTAAGCCCCATCCTGTCCCCAGTCACCTCACCTGTTCCCTCAGAGCTGAGCCTCTGCAGCCTGGCCTCAGAGTCCTGGCCTGTGACTGACACCCAGGAGAGACTGTGCTGGACCTGCCCCACCTCTGCTGGGCAGCCCCCTCATTGGCTGGCTTCTAACTGTTAATCATCAATCCCAGGGTCAAGAAGCTGAGCTAACTCAGAGCAGGGAGCCCACATCCATCTGCCTTATCTGTCTTTTTCATCACCAGGAAGTTAGCTAGGAGAATCCCAGGGGTCCCCTCCCTTAGGGAATGCTGGCACCTTTGTTCCTGCACATGCCTGCCAGGAGCCTGGGGACTGAAACACTCACCCTGTGTTCTGGGATCTCTGATCAGAGTCCACCTCTTGTCTAGGCAATCCAGCCCTGGCATTCCCACACTCAGGTCCCTGTTCCCCCCTCCACTCCCTGACTGCCTCATCAGCCTCACTAGGCTGCAGTCAGAGCTGTCAGTCAAGGTGACCCCATGGACAGGCACTGCTCTGTCAGTGGCCTACGCGTTCTGGCGGGGCCAGGGCCTGCATCATCATGGTGCACAGGGCTGGGCACTGAGGATGGGCCTTCCTGCAGTGTGCAGACAGATGAGCTGCTCCCTTCTCCACACCCATGCTGAGCCACAGAAAGGGACTCCCCTTGCTACCATGAGCACATGCCTGTGCCGCCCACCTGTGCCCAGACATGTAGTGTCCTAGTCCATGGCTGTCTGAAGCCATGAGGACAGCAAAAGATTCAAGGAAGTGCTCTTGTGGCGCATGCCATGTGAGCTCTTGTGACACAGCTTAAAGGCCAGAACTTTGGAGTCTTTCACTGAAGGAACTTTCCAGAAGCCTCAGAGTCTGGTGGAGGAAGGTCCTTCAGGTGGGACAAGGGCTGGGATCAGAAACACTGGGTCTTCCTCCAAGGTGTGATGAGGCTATCGGTGGGGTGAGGGGAGAGGGTGGCCCTTTACTGCAGGACAGCATGAACCTGAGCAGGCAGAGTGAGGTAGCCTCTGACTGAGTGCCCTGGGGCAGGGTAAGGATAAGCCTTGTAGGGTGTGATGAAAGGTGAAGCCCTGGCTGTGATGGACAGGACCAGGACCTGCCCCTCAGGCCTGTGTCCATCTTAGGGAGGGTGGATGTGTGTCCAGAGCAACGGGAATCCCTACATACTCTTAGTGGGGAATGAGATGAGCAGGACATGGTATGCATATAGCTGCGTGTGTGTGTGTGTGTGTGTGTGTGTGTGTGTGTGTGTGTTTGCAGGCAAGTGCAGCAAGGTGAGATAAGGGCCCCCAGGTACTGGTATGTATTTTTCTCACTGCACTAGTGAGGCTGCTCAGAGGGAAGTGGCAACAGAATCTGAACTTGATTAAGTGATATGATGAGCTCTAGCGTGGAGCCGAGTGTGCTCAACTGCAGTGGCACTTGATTTCAATTTTCCAGAGCGATTGCTGGCTCTATAGCCTGTGAAAGTGAGCTGCTCTGCTTTAAACAGTGACTTGTCCTGTGTGTTTTTGCAGGGAAAGTGTTTACAGGGGAAACTCCTGGGTCAACAGGCTGGTCCTCCAAAATAGTGAAGAAGATGGGTGAGTTTTGGGGCAAATGGTAGGCATTTCAATGAAACAATAGGAGTTAGGATGGAAGGAATCAGGTGACAGCCAGGCTCAGGCAAGAGCATGTGGGAGGCCACTGGAGTGAGGCCCATTCTGCAGCTATGGGGACTGCCCTGGAGCATCCCCACAGGTCACCAATCAGAGACAGAAAAAAAAAAATAGAATTGAGACCTCCAACTCCATAACACACCATGTGGAAGAAAGAATTTCTGATCTTGAGCACACATATTTGAAATAGCACAGTGAGACCAATATAAGAGGAATAAAAAAGAATAAAGTCAACAAGACATTAGGAGACCATCAAATGAACCAATACTCGTTTCACAGAGCTACCTTAGAGACTAGAGAATGTAAAAAGCATTGAAAACCTAGAAATAAAATAATCAAACTCCATCTAAGTCTAGAAAGAGATTACACATCGTTATACAAGAAGTTCACTCCAACCAGACTTAACCAGCCTCCTCAAGTTGTACTGGAATCAAATGTTCAAGGCAAAAAAAAAAAAAAAGGATAGGGAGCCAGCCTTGTAGTGCAGCATATTTGTAAGGACTTATTCCAATATCTCACCCTGGACCCTGCGCCATTTCTTCTTCCTCACAGCTCACGAAATTCGCGCCAGTCCAGCCATCCACCAATCAGATGTAACCTGGCATTCCACCTGAGAATCCCACCCCCAATCTCCCAGCCCCTTCCCCAACCCCGCCCACTCACCAATCGTCCCCAGGCATTCACCTGCAGGCACCAATCTCCTGGGGCCTTGACCTCAATCCCTCCCAATCCCCGCCCCCCGCACGTGGCAGACAAAAAAGGCCCCCAGGTGAGGTTCTCTCTCTCTCTCTCTCTCTATGTCTCTCTGTCTCTCTGTCTCCCTCTCTCCCTCTCTCCCTCTCTCTGTCTCTCTCCTCTCTCTCTCTTGCTCCCTCTTCTTGGCTCCTCTCCCTTGCCCTTCCCCTCTCTCTCCTCCTTCTTGCCTCCCTTCCCCCACCTCCCTTTCCCCTTCCCCTTTTTCCTCCTGACCTCCACTACCTTCATCTTGTTCCTGCCCCGCTGGAATAAACCTCCTAAGATATGTCGTTGCGTCTGGTGTTTTCAGCTCACCAGGTTGCGGGAATTAGCTGCACGTAAAGTATCATCATATCCTATGATCTAGAACTACAACTCTATTTCTTTTAAATAACTAACAATATTAAACCATGGTCTTCAACGTCAGCATTCCATTTGAGCCTCCAAGTTTCAGTCTTATTTCACTTAAAAAAAAATGGTGACTAAAAAAATGAGGGGATAGCAGACCAATGTGAGACACTGGTAGGGGTGGGGTGGGATGAGGGGCAGGGAGAGAGAACTGTGTCCACGAAGGGGGTTGGAGGGATGAGGTGTGGTGCTCCTTGTCAGACTACATTGGTGCCTGAGAGATGGAGATGTTCTGACATGTGGCTACTTCACTCTTTTTATTTTTTTTTTTAAGATTTTAAAAAAGATTTTATTTTTATTACAAAGTCAGATATACAGAGAGGGAGAGAGACAGAGAGGAAGATCTTCCATCCTCTGCCTCCTTCCCCTAGTGGCCAAAAAAACCACAGCTGATCCAATTCAAAGCCAGGAGCCTCTTCCAGGTCTCTCACAGGGGTGCAGAGTCCCAAGGCTTTGGGCCTTCTCAACTACTTTCTCAGGGCATAAGCAGAGAGCAGAATAGGAAGTGGGGCTGCTGGGATTAGAACCAGTGCCCATATGGGATCCTGGAGCATTGAAGCTGAGGACTTTTAGCTGCCAGGCCATGATACTGGGCCATGCCTCCAGGATTAATTTCTTAGTAGCAACAATTCCTCAGCTGCCTCAGTCTAACTCCCTCAGTTTAATTTTCTCACACACCAGTCCACGAATTGGAACACTAATCCCTGCCCCAACTCACAAACAAGGCATTGGACACCTCTGTGGTTCCATAAGGGGCATCTTCGGAAGGTCCTGGCTCCACTCCCTGCACCTGCTTTGGACTTGGCCCAGACAGGAGTAATGTGCTCCCCGCGCCAAGGGCAAAGGGCGAGGTGACCTCCACTGCCGGCAGTGCTGGAATCTGCCACACAGTGATGGCTCAGTGCTGCTGGAGACTTTCGGTTCTGTGGCATCACTGTGCCCACGGACTTTCCACGCGTTATGGCAGTGCATGTTGCAGCGGCAGGCAAGGGGTCTACACTTTGAGACCAAGGCCTGAGTATCATATCAGTGGGTGCCAGGGCACAGCAGCAAAAAGGCTCCCCAACTCAGAAGTGTCCTCTTCCATCCAGGCAATTCCAATCTCACAGCAACCCAGATGCAGCAGCACACCTCAGGGCTGGCCTGGGGAAGAGCAGGGAGAAGTTGTTGGCTGGCCTGGGACACCACGGTGCTGTGCAAAGTCACAGCAGCCAGCTGGGGCTGACAGGAGCAGGGGAGGGAGAGCAGAGGCTGTGTCCCTCCAGGGCTGCCAGCAAGTGGCTGTGAGCTGGCCTGGCTGCACCCAGCTCCTCACCTTGCCCCTTGCTCTGCCCTGCAACTCCAGCAGGACTTGGATTGCGTCTCTGGGGCCTGACTCCTTGCAAAGCACTGCGTGGCCACAGATGCCTCTCACGTCAGCACCAGCCCAGTCCCACAGGAAACTCCACCAGATAGGCACCTGACTCACTGGCAAGATGAGCCAGGCAGGTTACAAAGCCCTGGCCTCCTTCTGCCCTGTCCCCAGGCAGCTGTCCCGAGGTTCCAGCCGTTAACTCAAAACCTGCATCCACACCACAGAAAGCAGCAGAGGTCTGATGAAATCCCTGGGGTGCAGGGGCTGAGCAGGTGATGCAGATGTTTGTGGTCTGTAGAAGCAGGAGGAAAGCAGTGAGCACTGGGGTGAGGAACTAGGCTGTGGGCAAGAAGCCAGTGTGCAGGGCAGAGCAGAGCTGGTGTTTCAAACCCCAGCTCTCAATTTGGCAAGCCCCAGGTTCTTGGCAGGTGGTGGCCAGTGAGAGTGAAGGAGCCTGGGGTGAGGAGGCCAGCTGGCATGACGCAGCCTAGTGTGGTCTGGCTGACCTCATGTGAGGTTAGTGGTGTGCAGTGGGAACTCCCAGCCCGCAGACCCAGGGCTGGTCCCTGAACTCACAGATATCTGCAAAGGGACACCTGTATTGCAGGTATTTGCCATGGAGGACCCAGTGACAAATGAAAGAGCCCTGGACATACGGAGGGCTATAGAGGTACTCCTGGGAGAGCAGCCAAGGGTTGCCAACAACAGCCCAGGCCCTTGCATCCTATTCCCTGCCCAGGTGTGGAAAGGACAGCCTGGGACTCTAAGGTGAGATGGTAGGGGTTTTTGCTGCCATGAAGTGCACCACAACAATGTGGTAGCCATAGCAGCATGCCACATGCTCTCTGAG